ACAATTGCATTCAAATCGGTCAATGCACACCCATGATTTGGTACCTGTTTCATTTGACAACGTCTTCACAACTTCCTCATGACGAAGAGAATTCGAGGTCGAAGCGGCGCCGGATGACGGTGTCCATTTTACTAAACAGAATGGCCAATGAAGACAGCAGTACGTCCGAACGTAAAACAAAAACTGCCACCAACTTACCCGATTGTCCAGAGGCGGATGCTTTGAACCTCGGTAAGCGGAGGTTGGAGTAATCGTATTCACCGAGGTCCCTTTGGTCGCTGCGTTGCTCGAGCATGACTATCGGAGGCAAGGCGGATGTACACGAGGACGAGCAGGCGGCTCGGAAGGGTCGTGGCGAGCGGTTGATCGCGGTCACTTGATTGTTCAAGTCTATTTACGAGGAGATGAGTTGAGCAGAAAATGTTCCTCTTTCGAGGTAGGTAAATTTGAGCATGCGAGTCAACACTCACTCAGACACTTAACATGTTTTATGTGACAGCACGACAATGTAGCGACGAGCGAAGTGCCGCCAAACGGGAAGACGTGGTGAAAAAACGCCCGTCGCCTGTCGATGGTCGTCCTCTGTGCGTCAAGGTGCTGGCCGGTTGAGTTTCTACAAAGTACTTCTACTTCAGCGAACTCACAGCGTTCGTCAACACCGACGTGCAGCCAGCATGGCGAAGTGTCGAATGCATAGGAACCTCAAGAACTCCTCAGAAAGCTGCCAGCAGGACTAAGGGGACGCAAGGAAGTCGGCGTCATCACCTAGCCATAGCAGAGCCACGATGCCCAGTGGCACCAAACACCTCCGCTAGCGTTCATTAATAGTTGGCTCTCCCTTCCATCGGTCATATTCACTGTCGCGTTCCTTGTCATGGCCGTCAAAAAAAGCTCTTCCACTTTTTCGTTCGAAACAAAAAGTTTATTTGCAACCTGATGCAGCAGCTGCGAGTCAAAATCCCTTTTGGTGCTTCAACACGTCTACGTTGTCATTGCCGAATGTGTAATTGAATTTAGTTGTTCAATGTGACCATCACGCAGAGCATTTAGTACAGTATCAATGGCAAATGCAAATAGAACGTATGTTGCCACATTTGGCGACATCATGTTGAGGTTGCCCATCAAAACCGAATCGCCCTTCCACAGCGATGTCGAGGGCATTTATTTTTCTTCAACCCCTTTTGCAGCACTGAGAACTTTCTGTCAACACTGCAGGTAGCTTTGATGAAAATATTGAACATTAGACTTCTGGATATTTACTAGCTAAAAAGCTAATTCAGTCCAATCTGACATGTCACGATCTTCAGGAGCCATGCCTATGATCATGGGCTGACATCGGTCCAATGCCTACGTCACTGCTGTGGAAATCCGGCTACATGTCAATGCGCATACAAAGATCGTGAGAACAACTGCAGCAACGGTCAGTCTGGGGGTTCTATACGACGGAAGATAGACGCACTGTTCTTAGCATCTCGAATAACAGCAACAGAAGCTGCGAATAATACGAACAGCAAAATAGTCTGATGTTGCCAGGCAAAAATAGACGGCCATGCTGTCGATGAGAGCTCCCTTTGTGCTTACACTTCGCCTTGACCAGT